AGTCGCACGACAAACCGTATCCTGACAGGTGGCCCTATTAGAATCATCATGGATGAGTAGCAAGACCCCAACTCTACCATGCAACAGCCAAGAATCTGCCCTCCTTAATGATGTCTTCCATTATGGGCCTTTGACGTGAAATAGGTATTTGGTGAAGGCCCGTATGAGCCTATGATCTTGTTCCATAACAGCCTGACAGTTAGTTGGTGAGCTAATATTAGATTTGGAGGCACCCTCTCCAAATGCAGTCTGAACCGCAAAATAGTATAGCTATACTGTACATGCATTTCTATCAACTGATGACTCTTTTGATCTATAGGCTTAAGTGTTACCTGCCTTTATTTTTTTTATGTCTGTTTGCAAGCACCATATTATTGTTAGTAGTTTTTAAATGCATGGTGTTAATGTTCTTCTTTTCAGAAGACAATAAACAGTATCAGAAATTCAGCACACTTGCTAAGCAAATGTATGCAGTGAGTAGGTGAAGTGTGTATAGCATTAAGTTTTTGAAGGCCAATTATATTAAATATGTATCTAATAAAATACAGACTGGAAAATAATATTAAATATAGGCAGTGAAAGCTAAGAACTGTTTCAGTCAAGTTTGAATACTATTTTAAAATATTAAGAGGTATTTAATGAAAGTTAGCTTTATATTTTTCTCTGCTGCATGCATTTCTACGGTATTTTTCTTCTGTATTTTATATGTGATCTCTTTTTCTCTCTCCCCCTACCCCCAATTTGGTGAATTCTTATAAGTGGTGTGGCACCTTTAATTGTTAAAAAAAAATTAAAATAAAAAATAATCTCAAAATTAATCAGAAACATTATGCTCTGATAGTCTGTGACTGGGATGTTTTAATGTATTAACCTGGAACTTGCTATTATATTTTGACTGATATGACAAAAGGTGTTAAAGAAATGCATATTACAAATAATTAATACACATATTCAATTCAAGATGTTCCCTAGATAATACAAAGACAGAAGGCTGGGCCCAGCTTTCCTGAGTAGAGTTCTTAAAGTAATACTGTGTGGAGATAAGCACTGTCTTAGTGGATGAGGACGAGAAGGCAAGAAGATGAGACAGGAAAAGAGGATCTAGTCATACCTGTCTAGGATTCCTTTTGGACACAAAATACCTGCACAGGAAGTGCTATCATCTCTAAGCCAGCCTGAACTAGTCCACACTTAATTTCCACACAGTCAAAGATTAGTGATCTTGGGCAGAGCAGTTTCCTATACGAAAAGCACAAGGCATACATAGCAACAATAAACACAACATGTGCAGAAAGTAGACAAAAAGACCAAAGATGAAAAAGGGAGCTGTTTAGTAGCCATTAAACATGACTCACTGGTGCTAGTAGGACTTTTTGCAACTGCAATGCACTGCATTGCGTGCAGTTTTGGCTGTCAGTATTCCCTTTAAAAAGGTTGCGTGTAACTTTGTAGAGGGATTACACTAGAAAATACCTCAAATCCATATAATCTATTTCTCCTCCAGCTGGAAATTGCTGAACCAAAGTGCAAAAAAAAAGTTACTGCTCACAAATGGACAATAATGTTCAATGGGCATGGCAATCAGTATTGCATTTCATTGTTCTGTTTCATCTGGCAGACAGATTAGGCATAAATCATCGCTAAGATTTATTTGGTAGTTTTATGGTTTTAAAAAAGGCTTTTGTCTATATTTTCCACTAGGGAGAGCATGAGTAAGTATGGGCATTTATAAATGTGCTCTGGAGGAGGGGGTGCTCTTCAATTAGTGCACTTCCAAGAGCTGTGCTATTACAGTGCTCGGAGCATCATGTGTATCAGCATTCCTGTGCTGAAAAATGGCAGCGTGGGCACTTAACTAAAGCTCTTTCAACGAGTTTTAGTTAAGTGCCTTTGCTGCAATTTTTCAGTGTGGGGATGCTGATACATGTGATGCTGGAGTCTACTGGAGCGTGGTAATTAACACTCTCCAGCAAACTCAGTTAATCGTGTATAGGAGTCCTATGTGTTTGAATGAGCAATAGTGAAAAATATCTAGTAAAATAAATGATTATGAATGGATGGAAAGCTGTTGCTATTTTAATGTCTTATCTAGCTATATTTGAAACAAAAATAATTGAATCTGGAATATGTTGCATTACAACTTTCCTCTTGCTTCTATTGAATCACCTCTATTTTAGGATTGCCTTGGCTGTTTTCTGCTGTCATTTTAACTTTTTCTAAAGATCCAATGTTTAAATTGACTTTGATAAAACGTGAACTATAAAAATAAAATGAAGTTGTAGCCACCTTATTTTGCAGTTTTTTTGAAGAGGTTCATTTAAAAGACATGGACGTTGTTTGTTTTATCTCTTATACACTTGAGTAATCTGTGATAAAATCTCCTCTCTGACCTGCAGTCAGTTCTGATCTGTGCCTGCATCTTTGGCTATGGACTATGGAAGTCCTGCTGACATCTCTCTCTTTTTGGAGACTTATTCCATGGTCATGACTTAATTTTATTTTATGCAGACCTCATCTGGACACCTGAGCCACTTTGGTAGCTGCTGCGATCAGTCAACAGATCTCATGAATCTTTTCCGTGTTTAGGCATATGAATTAAGTGCTAGGGAGAGGTACCTTGTTTATCGCCTTTTGTTTGTCATCAGAGCAAGTAGGAATGTAAAACTCCCTGGCTCTACCTTATAAATAAGTATTCTGACCCAGAGGGACTTAACTCTAGGAAGGAAAGTGGTTTAGTGTCCAAGACTTTCCAGTGATTGGCCTTTCTGCTAACATTGTCAATTAAGGCACTAGTAGGATGTGTAGTAGGATTTACATTTGTGATGTAAATGCATACACCCATGAGATAGTAATGACGTCAAACCAAGACTAGATTCCTTCTGGTGATGTGGGAATGAAAGGGTTACTGTCCTGCGCTCCTGAGTTGGTGTCACCACAGATAAGCACAAGGTATTTTTTCCTTTTTCCGCATTCCAGTGGGGTTGAGACCACCATTCTGTTGTGGTCCTGACTCCTGCCAGGAGGATGCACATTTATTTCTGACATCTGCTATTTATTCTGAGCCCGCATGCAGATCTGCACTCTGCCCATGATCCTTGCTTCTCTCACCCTTCCCTTGGTAGTTTCCATCAACTACCTTTCCTCTTTCACGTCCCTCTGAAAAATGTTACGGAGGTGTCTTCTTGTCTGCTTCCATTCCTGCTCCTTGCCAGAATTATTGCCTGTCCCTAAAGAACCATAAAATCCAAGTCATAACACTCTTAAGTTACACAGGGTGATTTCTGCAGTGCCGATGATGGGTTCTTATCATGTAGCTGGCAGCATCCATACAGGCAGGGTGCAGCTGGGGCCGTGAACCAGCACTACAGCCCGTGGGGCCCTGCACTTCCTTTGCACTATCTGACAAGGAGGGGGTGTCTGCACCCCTTGTTGCAATCCTGCCGAGCAGGCAGGCAGCAGCCAAGTTGAGATCCCTGTGCTCTCAGTTAAACCAGTCCTGCCTGTGCTCACTCTGGCTCGTGTCAAAGCAGGAGGCAGCCGTGTGCAGACACAGCTGTGCTCCTTCAGCCTGGAGCTGGTGTGTGAGCCTCAGCTGTGGAGGAAAGGGGAGGGGCAGCATTCAGGGCACCATGGGCGGGTGTGGGGATGGGCCCCGCTGCTGAGTGAGGATTTCCAAGGAGGCTGGTGTTGAGGAGAGGGGGTGGGGAGAGGGGCTACGGAGTGGGTGAGATGTGGGAGCAGAAGGTGAGGACAGGCTGTGGTGCTGGGGACAGGATGGGCTGAGCATAGAGCACTGGGCAGTCAGGTTGTGGGGTGCCGACTGTGTGGGCTCTGGGGGTGTGGGGCAGTGGGTTAGAAGAGTGTTCCTGGAGTGGTTGGCACATTGGTGCTGGGGTTGGGTGAGTGCATGCATGAGAAAGGGGTGCAGGGCAGTTGGCAAGTAGGTGTTGCCCAGTCACAAAACAGGTGAGCAGGGACTTGCAGCACAGTCACACCTGGCCCAGGCAGCAAGTCCCAGGCTCTCAAGGCAGGTGGGAGAGTGCAGCATGGTGCAGGGGGAATTGAGCACTGGTTTACAATGCAGTTTCGAGCAAATGAACAGGATCCCTGGCAGCGCCTCTGAGGAAGGTGTGGAAGGATACGTTAGCCCTGGTCCTGAGTGAGTCCATCCTTGTAGACTCAAGGGGATGTCTTTGTCTTCCTCCCCTTGGTGTTGCACCTTTGGCCCAGTCTGACTGGATAGCCCTTCAGGAAACTGTTACAACGTGCTCCAGGCCCCAGTTTTCAAGAAGTCAGACAGGGCTGCTTTATACTGTATCTCCCTGTGAGACTGTGGGAGTACCACTGGATGCATGAAGACACTGGTCAGCTCAACCATTTGTGAATAAGAACTGTATATAATTTAACCAAGTATAAGCCAGGAGGTGTTTGTTGGGGTGAGCAGAGGGCATCCTCCTTGCTCTGGGCTGGGGATGAATGTGACACAAGTCTTATATGTTGAACTGTTGTGTACCTTGATCAATCTTGCTTCACATCAACCTGAACAACTGTGAAGTAGCCAGAGTATTAGTGTTTCAATCAGTGATCAGTAAAGTGATCTCTGGTCAGACTGGGGAGAATTCTTTGGGGTTGTTTGGTCTTATTTCACATGCCATTAAGCCTCTTTTATTTTTATTTTATTTTATTAAAAATGTCAAAAAGATCACCAGAACTAAATTTTACAGTGAAAAGTGTAGCCTTTATAGTAGTACATATATCAGCTGCAGGTTCTGAGGTGCTCATGGGAGGAAAGTAAACCTGAAGGAGTTATTTTTACTAGTTGTATCTTCAAAGTTATGTAGCTTTGATTGAAAGACTCAGTTCTAAACCGCTCTGTCTATCCATTGTGCTATAAATTATCTTGTCATTTCATGCTTAGCCTGGTTTTAATCCAATGTCACTCTAACTAAAATTTCTTAAAAGATTTGTGATTTAAACATAGATAGTGAACAGAGATGAGATGTGTTTGCAAATGATAGCATTTATCAATAGGAATAAGTTCAAATTTAGAATTAACAATGGGTTCCATTTCACTGTTAAAAACATTAAATTCTTAAAGTGTCTGAAACTAGAAATATTTCCTCACCCTTTTGTCCTGTCCCCCCCCCGCCCCCCCCAAAAAAACCCAGTAGCCCAACACAATCTTCAAGTGTAGACAATAAGCTTCTTTCATCAGGAAATATGCTATGATAGATGGATGAAATTTAGCACTGCAGAACTCGCCATCAAGTGGATTTATCACAGCTGTGATACCCTTGCATCTTATCAGTGCAAGTTAAAATGGTCCTTCCAAGGATGAAAATATCCCCACGCATCTTGACATGATCATTTTTTATTATTTCTGTATCAATAGTCCCTTACTGTTGCAGCCCATATGAGTCTAATGTAAAACTTGTCTCGTGTATGGTCAGTAAGGCTAGCAAGAACAGGGACAACTATTTAAATAATTTACAAGTATGTCTATCAATTTAAGAATGTTCTACGGAGGAAAGAACTGAAACAGAATCTGTCAATAAAATATTGTTACGCTTTTGTAACTCCCACTTTCCACAGCATTGAAAAATGAATAAAGTCAAGGAAAATATGCATATGTGTGTGCCCATTTTATATAAATTATATAGATGTAGATATCTCTTTATCCATATCCATATCTGCACACAAGAGATGCAGCCATATTTATCTACTATGTTACACATGCCTGTAAAAAGCCTCCTGTCAGCAACAACAAAATGCTTGTGTTGATGCATCTTTTATTTACATATATAAATTCCCTACTAACAAATGTAAATATTAAACATGTTGGGGGGCTTGGGGGGATAAAAATCACCAGGACTATTCCTCTTTTTCAGCTAGCCATGTCCATACCTGAAAGAGGATGCAGTCAAGGCCCTACTCTGAATTGTACCATTTTTACAAACAGGCCTAAGGTTGCTAGAGTCCCTTCAAACCCAGCTCTGGGACTCATGCACCCCTCTCTTCAGAAGACATCACTGAAGGTGTGGAATGGTCTCCAGCATCATGTAAAGAAAACAAATGGGAAAATCAACATTAACTTATAATACTTAAACAGTTATATTTAGTAGTTGGACAGGATTGAAGAACAAAAGCAGACTCTTTTTCTCTGAAATTATGGACAGAGTCTTTCAGGTATGAGAGTATTGCATTGTCTACTTTAGCATGGGTGGGTTTTGGTCCTATATCATCTCCACACACACCTCAGAACTACTTTAGCCAAAGTTTGCCTGTTGCCTACTACAAATCACTCTCCTAATTAATCAGATCCCTGGTTATCTGAATGGTTGTAGGATTCTCCAAATGTTTCAAGTGTGTGTGTAAGATATGTAGCCCTGGCCCATCATCTGAATAATTTATTTAGTGATGTAACTAGTAACTGGAATTTTGATGCTAGTGAATACCAAGTCCTTTGAAAAGTGGAGTAGTGATTTAGGGAGGGGAAATTATTTTACACCGAGATCTGTAGCAGTACCCAAATAGTATAGTTTGCATTTCATTCTGTTTGCACAACCTAAACAGTGTCCATAAAAAGCTGGCATTCAGATAACTCAAACAGGTTCACTTGGCTGTTAGACTGAACCTGAAATGGGCAGCAGCCATTGTTTCCCCTTTCATATTCTCTACCCAAAAGTAGTAATTGATGCATTATATACAGTACTGAGATCTGTTTCCTTTGTAGCCCAAACTATTGAGGCTTCTCCACTTCAGAGGGATGCTAGAAAGAAGTTAGCTAACAAGCCACATCTGAGAGGGGCCATATGAAGTTAAGGTCCTTATGGCTGGAGGGCTTTGCTGTTCTTCACAGTTCATCTCGTTCCTCCTCGTTACAAGTGCAGGCACTTCTTTGGCTGTTCATGAAAGGTCGGCAGCCCAGAGTCCAGACAGCATTGAATACTGTATCTGCCACAGATTCACAAGCTGCAGGGGATGGAAAGAACAGGAAAATAAGCATTACTCACACAGTGTCACTGCTGGTAAAATCTATACCAGCATTGGCCTCTGAATCCATTGTGGAGTACGTGGCCATGGAAGTGGTGTCGCCTGCTTTGTCTGTACAGCACTGACATTTCTAAAGCTGTGTCTGTGCCTGTCTGCCTCTGCCAGCAGAACTTCTGGTATCACTGCCACCAAGCCGACACATCACAGGCACACCCAAGTGCTTCTAGCAGCTCCTTGCGACTCCACTCAGCGGTGCTGCTGCCAGAGCGCAAAGTGCCTCCCGGGAAAGTACCAGCTTGCTCAATGGGCTGCCGGTGTGGGAGTGTCTATGTGCAGCCACTGGGCACTGGCAGAAGCCTTGCTCAACCCAGCAGAGCTAAAGGTTTTGCCATGTTTTGAATATAAACTCACTTGTAGTGCAAGCTAGGCCTGAGCTCTGTTTCCAGCATAGATGCAGTCTGTGACAGAGGAGGTGACAAACTATGACCAGTGTCTTCTGGAAACTTTGCTCTTTTTCTCACTTGCTGTTGAAAGTGCATGTTTTCCTTTGGAGTTTGGCTGTGTATCAGGTGAGCTTCCCTAAAGATCACAGCTGGATCAGCTGACTTTAGTTCTCACCTACTCCATTTGCCCCATAGTCTTATTTAAACTTAGCTCTACTCTCTGTTGCTAGATCAGCATTACAACTGTATTGGTGATACCACTGTTGGAAGCACTAATGTAAATAAAGTGCCAGTGGTGACCAGCAGTTTAGCTAGTGGCATCTGGACCTTCTGTATAGATGAGGCAGTAGTTAAAATGACAAGTTTGCAATCTGTACTAGAAATGCTACCATTGCCACAAATAGCTTTGCTGCAGCAGACAAGCTGCTGTAGATTCAGGTTAGTTAACTCCAGAGTGCTTAGTGTACTGTGTACCATCTATACCACAGGAAATCAAGTATTAAAATGTCTAGCCAGTAATAAACACCTCTCTCCCTGCTGCTGTTGTTTATGGATGGGCTCAGGGGAATTATGTATATTGCTGTTCAGAAATAGAAATAGACCTGGTAGCAGTCCTGCCATAGCCCTCTCCATAGTCCTCTCTCAGTTCCTCTGGCCACTCCCCAATGCAGTTCTTCCACTTTTGCTTTAGGAACCTTTTTCTGTGCAACTCCTGCAATGCTCTGCCTCTGCCATGCTCCAGTGCTCAGCAGGACACATCGCTTATCTTGCCTTTACTTCTTAGTAGCTCATTGCTCAGTTCTTATTTATTACAACTATCATTTAACTCTGGAATGGTTTTTGGGGAAGTGCTTGTGAAAAATATACTGCCATAAATTTACATGGCAGTATACACATACAGAGAAAATGAGAAAAATGCTCCCAGCCCTGAAGCACTTAAATATAAATAATAAAAGATGCAGAACAATGGGTCAGGAGAGAGGAGGTGATAAGTGAAAATTGCTTGAAGTAGAGTTTCATTTTAGAAACGTTGCAAAGAAGGGGAAGTTAAAAAAAAAAAAAGGTGGAGGGGTTCCCAGGCATTAGGTGCAACACAACAGGAAACGCAAGGCCATGAGATTTTGCTCCATTTACAGCCATGGATGGGCAGCCACCCTGTTAGCTGTCTCCATCCAGCCTTGTTGTAGACAGAGAAAGCACTGGTGGGCCTAAGCCCTGCTTGGAACAAGGGCAAGCTGCATTGTGCAAATTGTGGCTTACTGGGTTTGACATGGTCTTCCTGTAGTGGTGCAGCTGTACTGGTTCGTGGCCACCAACGACCACTATCCACAGGTAGCCTCAGCCAGGGATACCAGTCCAAAAGCTGTGACAGTCACTGTTTCTATTGATGCCATTAGGCTTTGGACAATACATAAGGAAGGAGAAATAATGTGACAAGTGTGGGAAGGAAGAGCTATAGAGACAAATGGAGGCAGAGGTAGGTATGGTCCCGACTGTATAGGAATGAGCTTGGATCTGATGTACCTAAACTGTAGGACCTCAGGCCTAGGATCATGCATGTCTCTCTTTGCTTTCTAATGTGTACTTGAGTGTTTTTTTCTCCACAAATGTTTAATCATAACAATTATGGCCACACTTCAAAAGCTGCTCTACTTAACCAAAGGAGATGATCTGGTGAGCGACTTGAATGTAGAGGGTACCCTTGGTGACAGCAACCACAAAACCATCACGTTCGCTGTCTGCTGCAAGGCAGGAAAATCAGCTAGCAGGGTTGAAGTTTTGGACTTCAAAAAAGTAAATTTCAACAGGCTCAGGGTAATACTAGGGGAAGCACTGGGGGACCAGGGTCCAAAGGAGTGCATGAAGAGTGGTTGTTCCTCAAGAACACGATCCTCGAAGCACAAAATAAGTCCATTCCCATGCAGAGGAAAGGTAACAGAAGGGCTGGGAAGCCCTCTTGGCTTAATAGGGATATCATGGTGCTCTTGAAAAAGAAGAGGCATACAAACAATGGGAATTTGGGACAGTCCCCGAGGAAAACTATACAACAATGGCCCACACTTGTAGGGAGCAGATTAGAAAGGTTAAGGTGGCGACTGAACTTAAACTAGCAACAGAAATCAATGACAAAAAGTCATTCTTTAGGTATGTAGGGAACAGAAGGAAAACAAATGGAAACTTGGGACCATTGCTTAACAGCTCAAGGCAGCTGATTACCAAGTCAGGAGAAAACTGAACTCCTGAATGACTACTTTGCTTTAGTATTTCACTGGTCTAAGGGGGAAATCATTAGATAAGGTTCAGAATGGGCACAGTGGAACTGATTGCCTTCCTACTGTTGACGTTGAGCTGGTGCGTGATCAGCAGGAATCCTGGTTTTCTCTGATTAAAAATTGCAAATTCTCTGATTAAAAACCCATAATCCATGATAAAAATTAAAGGCCCCCCCCCAGCCCCACCCAGTGCTGCTGGTGCTCTGCACTCCCTTCCCCCACAGTCTCAACAGCCCTCCTGATGCTCCTTGCAACGGCCCCCCCAGACCCATAGACACAGACATGCAGACACAGACACTGACACCCACCCCAGCAGGTAAGTGCGTGTGGAGGGAAGGGGCGGGGCAGGGCGGGCGAAAGTGAAGTTGCTGGCAGGTAGATCAAGAAGGGGGGTTGCCCCTGTGCCCACTCCCAGGAGCAGGGCCAGGGGGTGAGGGCAGGGGTGCCACTCTGTGGGCTACACATGCTGGCTGGTCTGACAGGAGGTTCACATGCGGAGGCCGCCACCGCAACTCTACCACTGCACCCTGTGCTACCATCCCATGGCCACCTGCATGGCTTTGTGGGCAAGTGGCACAAGGTGTGGCAGCAGCAGTGTGGTGGCAACCACCATGTGCAGGCCACATATGTGCCACCTGGTTGGGGGGTGAAATGGGAGGTTTGCATGCAGCGGCAACCAGCTGCACAGCTTTGTGGCGGTGTCGGGTAGTGGCGGCTGTATGCAGGCTGGGGGGCTTTGCAAGCAAGCGCTGCCGCCCTTTGCCCCTGGATCCTAGAGGTAAGTGGAGCTTGGGGGCTATGGGGCAGGGCTGGGGAAGATGGTTGGAGGATGAGGAAGTGGGGGGGTGCTGCTGGCCCAAGGCAGCACATCTCAGGTGGGAGCAGGGCCAGAGGGTGAGGGCAGGGGTGTCTTGCTGTGGGGGGGGGCTTTGCGGGCAAGCAATGCGGGGCGCAGTGGGGTGGTGACCGCCATGTGCAGGCTGCACACATGCCACCCGGCTGCCTGCCCAGGGGAGTGGGAGAGAGAGGCTGGCATGTGGCCGGTGCACAGCTCCGTGGCTGGGTCTGCAGCCACGGCAAAGGATGGGGAGAAGGGGTGGGGGCTCACACCTGGTGGCGGCTGCTGCCACTTACCTGGAGTGCCATGATGGCAGTGATGGTCACTGCCTACAAAACCTCCTGCTGCCACCGCGGAGCCATGCCTGGAGCTGTGCAGCCAGCTGCAGCAGCACAGTGCAGGGTGGTGGTGGCCGGGCAGCATGCAGTCAGTCCCATCCCCACCACCACCACCACCCTGTGCCACTGCCGCCAGCCGCACAGCTCCGAGCATGGCTTCACAGTGGCAGCAGAAGATTTTGTATGCAGCAGCAGTCACTGCTGGCACAGGTAAGTGGCAATGGCTGCCTGTGCCAGCGGTGACTGCTGCTGCCTACAAAACCTCCCACTGCCACTGTGGAGCCGTGCTCAGAGCTGTGTGGCTGGCAGCAGTGGCGCGGCACGGCGGGTGGTGGTGGGGATAGCTGCGTGCCACCCGGCCACGACCATGCTGCCGCTGCTGCCCAGTACCCAGCTGCACAGCTCTGGGCACAGCTCCACGGTGGCAGTGGTCGTCACCTCTGTCATGGAGCTTTAGGTAAGCAGCAGCAGGCTGGAATCTCCAAACTGGCTCTGAATCTTCAAATCAGCTCCAAATCTTCTGAAGCCAATTTGGCCAAATCGAATCAGAAGAGTGATTTGTATCTCTGAATCGAGTCGCTGGCATCTGAATTGGCCAAATCTGAATTTGAATCGAATAGTTCCCTATTTGTACAGGCCTACTATCAGGTTTGTTCTGAAGCTGAGTTTGAATTTTTCTTTCAAATGTGAACAAAATCATACAAAGAGTTCAGGAATTATGGCAACTTAAAAACAGAAGTTCATGAAAACTCAGTCTAATATTATTGCTAACTATATGAAGACACAGGAAGCAGGTAACTTATTGGAATCTTCATGAATTGTGACCTGTAACATAGTACCAGTGTTCTCACAGTTAAAAATCAAATTTCTAAAGTTTTTACTAAGACCATCACTAAGGAAGTTTGGTTTCCCAAAGCATCAGAAGAGCTTTAAAAGCAAAAGTCACAAGTAGAAACAGGCTACTCTGGACAAAAGCCTTAAAAGAGAGTCTTAATTTGGGGGCTCTGAAGACAACACCACATAGCGGTCTCCCCAGGGAATCCTATGGAGAGGTGTTATAGAGAAGTGGCATTCAAGGGCTTAGTAGGAAGAGATGCTTGGGGAAGCAGAGCGCTTCTTTCTCTTCCTTGCTTTGCTGACAAGAATACATCACCCCATTCATGGGCCACATGAGGTAGGCTGAGGGGAAGAAAGAAAGCAAATTTGTTTTTCTAACATTTTTTAAGCTGTGGCATTCTGAGATTCCAATTTATACTTAAGCCACTGAGATATACTTGTAACCTTAGTTTCATTTTAATTAAGTAATTGGTGTAGAAATCTGGATTTGGCCTGAGCCAACTGCTTTCCGGCCCAGTTCCAGTGTCTCCAAGGCACTGATGTGTCTAAAGGATGATCTTGCCCATATTATATTTCATGGTTAAGAGATGAGCTGGCTGTTGTTGGCACATTGATGGCACTGCCATCTCAGCTGTCTCATTCCCCTTCTCACCTCCCTAAACCTCAGTGATTTTATGCAGATTTAAACACTGATAAAAATGGCAAACCATGTGACATGTTTCAGCTCATCCCAAATCAAGAATGTCTGAAAGAGTCTGAAACATGGCAAATTGGGACAGAGGTGCAGCAGGACAGCTGTAATGGATAGGGCAGCGCCAGCTTCTGCTTTGCTGATTGTGGCTGTGCTCAGCCACCCCTCCCCAGAGGCAGAGCCTGGGGCTGCTGCCCATCACACCATCTCAGTTACATTACTGAACTAGGGTACACAAATGCATTGGGAATGTAAGAACTTTTTTTATGGTAAGGATACTGCAAGGATAAATAAGTGAAAAATTAATCCCTTTCTGAAAGTTTGAGATTTTGTAAATCAGTTGCAGAATCTGCCCCCTCTCTTGCCCCCGCCCCAAATTTCCATTAGAAATGAGTAGGAACTGGGCCTCTCCAATGCAAGTGCCCAGTGGCTTGGTAAATCCTATCCTAAAAAAAAGTACTGTTTCCAGAGTCCGTCTTTCCTAATGAGACATAATTTGCTTTCCTTTTAAATAGTCGTCATACTAGATATACTAAAACAAGTGAGGCATATGAACTTTAAAGAGGAAGGAGTAGTGTTAAAGTACCAGGTATGCTTTGTTCAGATCCCTGATCTAATGATGTTTCAGAAGGAACAGCTGGTCAGCTGTGGCAGTCACAGAAATGGAGTGCTGTGCCCTATGGCAGAGTCAGAAGCAGGTGTTAGCTTTCTGCTGCATAAAAAAGACTTCCTGCTGCCCAGTAGCAGAGTCTGCCTGTCACTGTAAAGAGCTGTGGGCATGCAAAACTCACCTTCTACCTTGGAGACAAAACCAAGGCTTCGCTTGAGGTCAGAGCAGATGGAGTGGAGGCACCAACGGAACTTGGCATCACAACGATATTTGTTGGCACCACAAGTGTCATAACAAATATCCAGCTGGTTGCAGCACTTGGTCATGGCAGGGATACCTAAATCCAGCTGAAAAAAGGAGGCAGGGGAGGGGAAGGGAAAAAAAATTCATCAGGTGTTGTGAGAATGGAGCCCCATCTTGTAAATTGATTGTTATAAATTTAGAGATGCACCAATGCATTGGTCCATATCACATTGGCACCAATAAAAGGAAAATTGACATTATCGGCAATTGGCTTTTTTTCACTGTAGCTGATAATGTCGCTGATAAATGCTGCATGTACCCTGAGCAGCGTGGCTAGGAGTGCACTCTTGCAGCATGGAGGGCAGCATCCGGCTGGTAAGTCTGGAGGGTGGAAGGGGTGTGGGGATGGTAAAGGGCGTGGGGGGTGCAGATCAAGGCCCCCACAGTGAGGGAGGGAGTTGGAGAGTGGCAGGCACTGCCCAGTTGGGGAGAGGTTGGGGACAAAGCCAGCGGTTCATTGGGGGGGGGCATCTCCTGCTGCTGTGCGAACCCCTTTGGGAGGTATGGGGGGGCATGTGCCCCCTGGATCTATGCACAGGCCAGAGGTGGGCTGCCACTGTGCTCTGGGCCAGAGCTAGCCTCTTCCCAGCAGCTGCGCTTGGGTTAGCTGGTGGCAGCACTGGGAGGGGGGCTATGAAAAGACTATGGCAATTTTTGGGGTGACTGTAGCCTCCCCTCCTGTAGCTCCCCTCCCAGCATCGCCACCTCCCACCCCACCCACCTTAAGTGCACCTGCCGAAAAGAGGCTGGTGCCAGCCACAAGCATGCAGCAGCAGCCTGCCCTTGGCACACACACAGATCACGGGGCACATGCCTCTCATGCCTCCCCTAGATGAGCTGCTGGCTCTGTCCCATGCCCCGCCCCACCCTGGCTGGGCAGCCCCTGCCTCCGCCCCACTCCCTCCCTCACTGTGGGGGCCTTGATCTGCCCCCCCACACCCCTGCCCCCCCACAGACTTACCAGCCGGATGCTGCTCTCCAAGCTGCCGGGCTGCATATTGGCAATCAGATCGGTATAGGCTGATATGGCTGGACAATAATTGGCCGTTGGTATCAGCCTAAAAAATCTTTATCGTGCACCCCTATAAAATTTTTTCTTTTCCACACATCCAGTGAAGAAGTTTCATGTTTCTCTCCCTGCCCAAACATTAATAAATGTACCCATCTAAAGGATAGCGTGGTGCTTAGAGAGTTTGCAGTGATGTCCAGTTTAAGACCTAATCTATCTTTAAAGGTAATTCACGGTAGAGAATATTTTACAGCAGAATCTTAACTGGTGCTGACTGTGGTAAGGGCAGAGATGTGCCAATTAGATAGTCATTCCAGTTCTCAGAGGTGCCTTGGAGTACATTGACTTTGATTTTGTTAATTACCTTTAAAATAACCAATGTGCAAAGCATTTGAAGCCTATCAGATTTATTTAGTGCTCCGAGTAGATGAGGGAAGCAATGTGAAAGGCGTGGAGGACTGCACAATGGTAGATTTATGTTCACAAACACTAATTCACGCCTGTAAATAGACTTTCAGGGAACACCAAGCACTGCCATTTATCTGTTGTTTAGCGGCACTGAATGTGTTCTCTGGCAGTGGATCCAATTAAAAGGACATAGCACTTATCAGTGTGACCATTGAATGAATCCTACTACCCTATCACTCTGTAGACAACACTGATAGCCATGTACTTTTTGAACTGCAACCCTGATAAAATCTTTTCCTTCACAGCATTCATCTGTCAAGTAGATTTTCTACTTCAATAATTAGAGGCAACTGGGATTTTGTATCATGCATTCACACACATAGTTTTCATCTAGAGGATTATTCATTTATTGTAAGTGGCTACCAACAGTTGGGAGCTGAATGCTCCACTGGTTAGCAAATCAGATAGTAAATTAAGAGGCTATCCTTAAAATGATACATTTTCTTTTGCCATCAGCAGCCAGCCATCTTCTTTGGCAGGCCCAAACACACAGCTTGTTCTGTAATAGGATATAAGTGACTATCACAGCAATCTTTGAACAATATCCTCTTCATTCTAAAGCATTGTCTGCTGCCAGGAAAAAAAAGAGTAGCCACAGGCTACTAGCAAATGACACAGCTAAACTGTGCTTATAACAGTCAATTTTTAGCTGGTTAATATGATTAGTAAATTGTCATCTGGGAAGTAAGTGTTAGCTGTACATACACTTTCTGGTACCTTGAGACCCAGGAAGTAGGAGCTGCAACCATTGGGTTCTTGTGGCTTGTAGTCAGGTCTGGGCAATGGAGCCTTTCCTAGAAAAGAAGGTTAAGGTGAAGTTTTAGGCATGCCAGCCTTGACCATAGTAATGATAAAGAGCTGTGAATGCCCTCCAGATTGTATGGAATTAGAATGAGAAGTAAAAAAATTATTTTCTTTGCATTTGGTTTGGCAAAGAGGAAAGTAAGTGAAGCAGTTGTACAATGGGAGTCTTAAATACTGCTTCCTACTGGCTTCCCAGCTCCAGGATATATCCATAGCATGTGTAGATGTCATGATCACCAGCTGAATCTTGTTTAAGCAAAGAGGAACAAGCCTTTACTTTCAGCCAGTGGCAACTCATAGGGGTTACATGGGGTTCCTGTGCACCCCCTGAGAGCACTGGTGTACCCCCTCACAGCAGTGTTCCCCCATTTAGGCAATGGATGGGGGTGGGGGGGCAGGCAGAAGCACTGGTGCACCTCCTGAGAGCACCAGCTGGGGAGTGGGGGCACCAGGAGAAGCGCCACTGGAACTTCTGGGTTGGTGAGTGGGACCAGCTGGGGGATCCTCCCCGATTGCTGACTGGATGCTGAGGGAGCAAGTGCCCCCTTGACTCAGGAGACACTAGTCACCCATGTTTTCAGCTGTCACTTAACAGTGAGATTAGTTAGGATCAGTGGGGCCTTGCTGGATCTTAATATTGTAACTTGGCTCAGTCTGTTGTAAGTGGACCCTGGGACACCTGTGCTTGTAAGTCATCCAGGTCTCGGCTGAGTTTAGTTATTGTTCCTCATTAGGGTTTCTAGGACACACACCTAGATTCAGACCTGTTTTCTGAAACATTCTTTAGTGCATGGAAACTTCCCAGTTCAGCCATACACGACTCTAAGCCTCAGACTCCCCAAGTCTCTTAGTTACTTATGTGTGTACTTCCCCAGCGCTCAACCTATACTGGGCCCTCTGGCTTCTGGTTTAACTCTTTCAAGCACAACATTCCAGGGAAATAAAGAACAGTCTTAGCAAAGAAATTTAACCAGTCAGTATACTCGTAAAGACCACTGGAGAGTGATACCTCTTTGCAAAATAAGAGGTCCTGAGCTGTACTCTCTTCTATTCTGCTCTTACTGCTTGTTTGAGTCTTGGGTCTTGCCAGTTTCAGGTGAGGTCAAGTCCCTCCTACCTTCTTGTCCTCCAGCCCATTCTTGCTGGGGATGCTGCGTGGCTGCCTGTCCTAGATAGCACCTCTTGTCCTAAGTATAGTCTCTGCACTTAACCATGTGCTCCACTGAAGTCTGCACAGAAGCTATAATTCCACAACTAACAATTAACTGGTAGCTCTAGATTATTGTCTAGATGGATTTTCAGGTACTGGCCTTCAGTAGGTACTGTCCACTTTCCTAGGTAGAGCTGGTGACTGGAATACATCATCCTAACCTTGATCTGAGTACAGTGCATAGTACAAAATGGATGTCCAAATCCAAAATAGGTGTTAAAATACCCAGTGGACTTTGGTTTTGTATTTGGACACATCACTGTCACAGCTGGGCTTTATCTTCCATGTTCCTAGCCCCCACATTCAGGATGGCTGTGGGCAAACAATAATCTGAATTACGGGAAGTGTGCCCACCTTGCCCCTGCCTGTAAGCACATGCCAGGATTTGAACAAGCCGACCATAAAGGCACTTATCCTGTATGGATGAGGAAACTGGGGAAGTTATGATATTCTTCTTGTTTCATTGGGTGCTATATTTAGATTACTACCAAGCCTCAAGCAGATCTGGCAATAGTAAAAGTATGGTATGATAATAAATGCTGGAGCATCACTTTGCTTCTTTACGGATTGCCTGTAGCCTTGCACTAACGCAAAGGCAAGGAAGTGGTTAAGACCTTACAAGAAGAAAGGAAATATTATGCATTTTATCTCCATGAAAGTGATGGGCTGCTGGAAATTGGGATGCATGTTTTAAGCAAGGAAATATGATAATAGCAGTTTCTGCAGAACAAGTCTCTGCTGGAAGCACAAGGGGGCTCCCTAACTGCTTGCTGTGTACACTTTCTCTTTTCCTTGGAAGAGGCTCCTATTGCAGGAGCCTCTACCCTAGCAGCTGGGGTCAGCTTCACTATATTTCTAAAGCAGGGCTGACCCCAGGTAGCAAGGCATAGACTCCTGCTGAATCAGCTGGGCAGAGACTCAGCTGATTTTGAAGATGCTGCTGACTAGGTTTGGGCCATCAAGTGACCTGGCAGGCATTTCTGGCTGCCCCTCTAGCTCAGCTTGAGAAGAGAAGATGGACCAGGCATTTGGGCTCAGCATCCTGCAGCTAAGGGGTTAACAGAGAAGCAACAATGCCCCCCAAAAACAAACAAACAAACAAAAAAACAACCCAACTAATGCAGCTTCCTGAGCTTCCCCTGGGCAAGTGTCAAAACTACCAATATTTTCAAGATCTTCATCTTTTTTTTTCATTCTGTCCTTCAAAATCAAGGTGCATATCTATTTCGAGGGCATGTTGTAAGTGGGAAAATGCAGTAATTCCCAACGAGGTGGCTGGTGAAGGCAGAATCTTTCTTTAGCGTCTGAGAGATTCCATAGCCAAAAGACGGACCAAAACTGCTCTAGAGAAGCTATATTCAGGCTTTTATATTGTTGCCAAGAAAAGGTATGCTGAGCTGGCATGTGAGAAGCTGGTTGTTTTATATTAGAACCAGAGGAAGTCATTTTGCTTCTGTGTTTAAGCTATAATGAGAGAAAACATTTACTTTTGATGAATATTGATAGTAAAGTCCCCCATAAACTAGTTTACAATTTACCTTGGTGCTTATTTCTTTTGATGCAGACTTGGGAACAGATATGCCTCAAATTTAGCAAGGCTTTTGTCATTGTTTCCCATGACATTCTCATCAACAAGCTAAGGAAATCTAGACTAAAAGAAAGTAGTGCAAGGTGGATAACTGGTTGGATCATTGTGCTCAATGAGTAGTCCTCAGTGTCTACTTGGGAGGAGATCTCAAACAATACTGGATGTAGGACAGAACCCTGGGGAACCCAGCTTAATGTCTTCATTAATGGGACAATGGGATCCAATGCACACTCAGCAGATTTGTGGATGACACCAAGTTGGGTAGAGTTGCAGATACTCCAGAGGGTAGGGCTAAAACCCAGAATGGCCCAAACAGGCTGGAGAAATGGATCACGATTAGTGAGATGACATTCAACAAGGACAAGAGCAAAGTCCTGCATTTGGGATGAAATAACTGCATACATAAATACATACTATGGAACAACTGGCTAGGCTGCAGTACTGCAGAGAAAGACCTAGGGACCATAAGCTGACTATGGCAGTATGATCTTGTTACAACAAAGCCAACAGCATATGGGGTTGTATTAACAGGAATGCCACTTGCAAATCAAAGAAAGGGATTCTCCTGCTCTATTCAGCACTGGTGAATCTCCTGCTGTATTCAGCACTGGAGTACTGTGTCTAGTTTTGAACCTCACACATCAAAAAGAAAGTATGCAGTTTGGAAAGATTCCTGTGCAGAGCA